TCAAGAGAGTGCAGCAGGTCTCTCCCCAGGTACAGACCGGCATTCTTCCAGTAGGTCCTCACATGCTGGGTCCTGTAGCTGGTGCTCCATCAACTGCACGGCTCTCATCCTAGTGTGGTCCAGCTCATCAGCAACATCATCATTTGGCTCCTAGGCTAGTGGGCTAGCTGTCTTCGTAAGTGAAGGAACATAACCTGTCGGCCGTGAGATAAGATCTGGCACATAGTTACTGGCCGGTTTTGTATTTCAACACAAAGTCATAGCCCCCAAGCTCATACACATACCAGCTCAGGCGGGTACTCTTCATGTAATTTGAAAGTACCTCAACCAGGGGCTGGTGGTCTGTCCAGACTAAAAAAACGTCGATATACTGGTCAAAGACTCGGACAGCTTCTACCACAGCCAGCGTCTCCAGGTCAATAACGGCGTAGCGGGTCTCGGCGTTCTCCTGGGTGCGGGACCAGTATGCGATGGTGTGTGGAATACCCTCTGCATTGTGCTGAAGAAGGGCCCCAACTACAGCCTGTGTGCTGGCAATGAAGTGCACCTTGAAGGGTTGGTTAAAGTCCAGTGGCCATCACTGAAGGCAGTTTTCTGGTGATCATCAGGGTACACAGAGATGGCCCAGTAGGCTGACCGACTGTCTAGAAAAGAGTCCAACAGACTGGGGTGTCTGTCATGGTGATGATACGATGCTGTATTCCTGGTACATGGCCTACTGCCTGCTTCTCCATGGAGAACAGAGTTGGGAACCGATCTAGTACTTAATGCAGCTGCTTCCTCCTGATCTGCTGTCAGATGCCCAAGGGATATGGGAAGGGGAGTACCAACTGCCTCAGTGCCTTTAGTGCCCAAGCCTTCAGCAGCCCAGGCAGCCCCAACTTGTCACTGCCCTTGTCACGTCCACTGGTCAGGGTGGTACAAGGACAGGCATTATCGCACAGGTTAACTGGCCATAACTGGGACGAGATCAGGGTGCAATCAGCTGCTACAGGATGACCTTAATATAGATAGACCGGGGGCTGCAGTACAGGCACAGTATATTACGGAGGTGGCCCATACTGTGTCGACTGAGGCAGCACTGATAAGATGGGCAGTGGTGGTTTCAATACGGCTGCAGACAAGACAGTTAGTTCCCTAGGCGTAGGGGTTGCAACCTACTGTTGTCCTGGGGTGTCTCTCCTATCTCCTACATCAGCAACAGGCTGGTTGTCCACTACAGGGGTCAGGTACGAGGCTACAAATGCAGGAGGCTGTGGACCCACAGGCACTGTGGAGGCAGACGTGGCTGCTGCCCTGTGGCTTCCTCACCACCGGTCTGGATAGTCGACAAGGGCGGTAGTATAGCGGTAGCAGGTGGCAAGATCCCCTCAACAGCAGTGGAAAGTACGGGCTGTTGGCCTTTCAAGAGAGTCGCCAGTGCCTGCATCTATGCCTGCATTTGCATCTGCATTTGTGCCTGCAGGCAGGCCAGCTGGTCCCTTGCCTGCGCTCCCAATCGGTCCATAAGACGTGCTTCCAATTGAGCCAGTTGCCTTTGTTGCAGTTCTAGGCCACCAGCTGCAGCAGCCCCAGAATTAGACAGTGCCTCTGTCAATAATATGTATATGTGTGTGTGTGTGTATTATATACATATATGTATATATGTGTGTGTGTGAGTGAGTGTGTATGTGTATGTATATATATATATATATATATACATATATATATATATATATATATATATATATATATATATATATATATATATGTATATATATATATATATATATATATATATATATATATATATATACATATATATATATATATATATATATATATATATATATATATATATATATACATATATATATATATATATATATATATATATATATATATATATATATATATATATATATATATATATATATATATATATATATATATATATATATATATATATATATATATATATATGTATGTATGCATATATATATCAGCGTTGGGTTCAAGTACAAGCGCCTGTACTTAAGTCCAAGTCCAAGTACCTGGATATTTTTCAAGTACAAGTACAGTCACTTTGCTATGTACTTAAGGCCAAGGCCAAGTACATGTCAGTGTACTAAGTACAAACACAAGCACTTTCGTAAAGCAATTAGTTGTTTTCGTATATACACATTAATGAGTACACTTAAAGAGTGGGATTCCATAGAGAAAAGTAAAAGTATATTCTTCCTTTATTTTCGCACATTCTTTTATCACAGAATTGCAATACCAGAACTTATACTTGAAACTTAAATACATAATATTCCCTATGCTGCAAATACAAAGTCTGTCCATATATTTCTCATATCGGTAATAAAATTAAATTTGATGCTGAAAACAGTCAAACATCCAGTATATAAATACAGAACATCATAAAATCAGGTAGGTTTAAACATTGTTGCCATAAGAAGACAAGTACTCGACAGAAGGTCACCAGATAAGCTATGCATGAACAAAGCGTAATTCAAGTGCCAGGCGCTGAGGGCACAGGCTGGTAGGCTTAGCAACAGCTAAGGATTGCAACACCTCTCAAAAATCACCTTTCTAACTTCCTCTAACCCCAAACTCATCCTTACCATCATCTTAAATCCTTCTCTCCCACATCACCGTCCTCTTTCCCTCAACCCCTATACTGCAAGCTTACAATTTGTGCACATTATAATGCATGGGCTCATTATAATGGAGTGTATATGTACATTCAGGCAGACACTGTTCAAACGTTTGTGCACAGGTATGAGCCTGTGTGTGTGTATATATACATATATACATATATGTATGTATATGTGTATATATGCATACATATACGTGTGTGTGTGTGTGTGTGTGTGTGTGTGTGTGTGTGTGTGTGTGTGTGTGTGTGTGTGTGTGTGTGTGTGTGTGTGTGTGTATATATATATACATATATATATATATATATATATATATATATATATATATATATATATGTATGTATGTATGTATATATATACATATATAGAGAGAGAGACCATAGAATGGTCAGAGGCCAAATCAAATTACACCTCAGCTAACTTGAAGACCAGATATCGACTTCTCAGCGACTGACCAAATCAACAAACAGTTCAATGGCATAATAAAGGAAGAGCATCAAGCATAGCTCCAGCAAGCTCTTGGCAGAAACTAAACAGCTTATGCAAAACCGTAGGGTCATAAAAGTATCGTCAAACAAGAACAAGATTAGCTGAACTAACAGAGACTATAAATAAAAAGAGAGATGTAGGAAATTCAATACTCAAATTATAAATGAAACAGTGATCTTAGGTACGGATAGAAGTGAACGCGGTAACTAGAGACGTACCTAAATTTAAAAAGAAATAAAAAGTGTACTGAAAGGTATGATGAGAGGGAGAACATTATGTGAAGGCGGAATTAGTATAGAACTTGTAATAGATACAGGAGAAATTGCAACAGTGAAACTAGCCAATATTTTTAACAAATGCCTTCCCAACGAAACACTCTGAATGCCTGGAAAATGGAACAATTATTTTGTTATATAAAAAAGGGGATTGAAAGGATCATAAAAACTACGGACCCATAAGCCTCTTTTCAGTTACTTACAAACTGTTCACAAAAGGCATCGCAATTCACAGCTCTGACAATCCGGATTTTAAGAACAGGTAGGCTTCCGTAGTGGATTCTCAGCAACAGTCATCCACATCTGCACGCTCACACAAATAAGAAAAAAATAAACGAATATGGGAAAAAGATGGGACAGCAACCATCAAGCTCCACACAAAAACCGATAAAATACCAATTAAAAAAGGTGTTAGACACCCAAACTGTTTAGAATAGAACAGAGACGAATAACTAAACAATCTAACATTTGCAGATGATATTGTTCTCTTCAGTGAATCTGCAAATGAAATGCAGCAATTGATAAACGATCTGAATAGAGAGAAAGTTGGACTTAGGATGAACAAGAAAAGGACTAAGATTATGTTCAACAGTAGAGTTCAATTCAAACAAATACATGTACAAGGCGAAATGCTAGAGGTAGTGGACAAGTGTATGTACCTTGGGTAACTCGAACATACAAACACATCTAGCGAAGAAGAAATTAAGCGACGCATCAGTCTAGGCTGGAACGCCTTCGGCAGATACAGTAGCATACTAAGAAGCTCCTTAACATTATGTTTAAAAAGAAGTCTTTAACCAATGCGTCTTCCCAGTTATGGCCTATGGATCAGAAACATGACCTACAACCAAATTACTGGAGAGGAAACTAATAAGTGCCCAGAGAGGGATGGAGAGGCTGATGCTGAGAATTCGCCTTAGAGATCGGAGGGCGACGTGGATCAGGGAACAGACAAAAGTGGAAGATATACATGTGAGCAACAAAAAGTAAAAATGGCAATGGGCGTGTCATATATGTTGGAGACAGGACGACAGATGGACCAAGAAAACAGACTGGGATATAAGTAACATGAGGAGGCCAAGGGCCAGACCAATGACAAGATGGTGTGACGAAATAACGAAATTTAAGGGCCAAGACTGGAAACAAAAAGCGCAAGACAGACAAAGTTGGGAAACATTCGGAAAGGCCTACTCCTGCATTGGATTGATTCAGGTTGATGATGATGATATATATAAATATATATATATATATATATATATATATATATATATATATATATATATATATATATATATATATATATGAATATGTATATATATATATATATATATATATGAATATGTATATATATATGAATATGTATATATATATATATGAATATGTATATATATGTATATATATATATATGTATATATATATGAATATGTATATATATATATATATATATATATATATATATATATATGAATATGTATATATATATGTATATATATATATATATATATATATATATATATATATATATATATATATATATATATATATATATATATATGCATATGTATATATATATATATATATATATATATATATATATATATATATATATATATATGCATATGTATATATATATATATATATATATATATATATATATATATATATATATATATATATATATATGTATATATATATGCATATGTATATATATATATATATATATATATATATATATATATATATATATATATATATATATATATATATATATATATATGAATATGTATATATATGTATATATATATATATATATATATATATATATATATATATATATATATATATATATATATATATATATATACATATATACATATATATATATATATATATATATATATATATATATATATATATATATATATACATACATATACTGTGTGTGTATGTATATATATATATATATATATATATATATATATATATATATATATATATATATATATATATATATATACTGTATACATACATATATACATATACATATATATATATATATATATATATATATATATATATATATATATATATATATATATATATATATACATATATATATTATATATATTATATATATTATATATCTACATATATATCAGTATATAATATATATATATATATATATATATATATATATATATATATATATATATATATATATGATATATATACATATATATGATATATGTATATATTATATATGATATATATAAGTAAATATATATATATATGATATATATAAGTATATATAACATATATATGATATATATA